AGGGGCTACAGGATCCCCGCCTTCCCCCAGGCTGGGCCGTTCCCCAGGAGAAGGCCAAGGTTGGCCTATGTAGGGTTCCCCAGCAGGTAGTCAAGCCCTGGCCTGTGGACGGGGCCTGCGGACAGTGCTGGAATGGAATGGAGTGCAATGGAATGTGTCCGAGGATGTCCTCATCCTCTCCAGGCCAGAAGATAACAGATGTGCAGGAGTGGAGATTTCAGAGACAGAACAGGAGAGAATCCAGAAGCCTCTTCCCAGAACCCCCAGCCCCTGCAGAGAGAGGACCCCCAGGCCTCCGGGAGGCTGTGCAGATGACACAGGAGCTCTGCTCCTCAGCACATGGACGCCCTGCTTAGGCCTCTCACCAGGCTCTCCCCTCTACCTGCGGGTGCCTTGAGACAGGACAGCCATGTTTTCCTTTGAGCTTCCATTTCCTCTCCCGACCTGGCCAGAGCAGGCCCAGGTGTTCTCTGACCTCCCTTCCAACGTGACAGGCCGAGGTGGGTGTGTGTACCTTGCACTGCAGGGACAGAACATGCAGATCCCGACTGAAGGAGAAAGACTTTAATCCTCCCCCTTGCAGGCCCAGGGCTCCAGTTAAGACAAGCAGAAGTGCTATTGTGCGGGGTACTGGAGTCTCCTGTGCTCAGGTTTCTTGCTGTCCTGGTAAGGCCTCCACTGCACCCACATGGCTCAAGACTGGTGTGGTGAACACCAAAGCTACAAGGTCTCCTGGGTGGTGGGGTCACGTGACTTCACGAGGCTTTGCAGGTGTCTGACTGCCTTCTTCACCCTCTGGTCGTTGGGGTCTGAGCAGATGACCTGCCCTGGACAGTAACCAGTCTACGGAGAGGGAGAAACCATCAGAGTCCTAGGACCATCCCCACCCTGCACTGACCAGGAGCCTGAGGCCCAGGGTCACATGGGACATCGATGGCAGATCTGAGATATCAGGTTATGTCCTCTGGGATTCTCAATCCTCCATGAGTCCCAGCCTTGATCCTGCCACTGCAAAGAAACTGTGGACCCTGCGGGAAGCCAGGGCTGCAGGACTGCTTGTCCCTCTCTACGGACTGTCATGTCTCAGAGACCTACAGAGGCTGTCCATCAGCTGGAAAGGCTGGGGTGAGCCCTGGCCTTCTGAACTCTCCTCTGGCCCCGGTGAGAGACCATATCAGCCCCTGGTTTGCTGCATGACCAAGGGGTCATCCCATCCATCTCTGGGCCTCAGTTTCTCAAAATGTAAATCCAGGACTTGGACCCCATGGCCAGGTCCCTCCAGGGTCTCAGTGCGTGGTCTGGAACGGCCCAGAGGAACAGGGCTGGCTGGTCAAAGGGAAGAGGGAAGAAGAATCCTGCTCTCCCCTCTCCCCAAGGTGTGGTCTGGGGGCTCCAGGGGCTGCCTCCTCCCATGCCCAGCTCCCAGGATGCCTGGGGTGGAGCAGACTTACACGATGGCATCCCTCGGACACTCTACCAAGGTCCTGTGCCACATGACAACCTTTCGGATACGAATGGCTCCTTTGAAATACTCAAGGCAGCACTCCTGGCCGACACCAGCCCTCGAGCTGCAGAGAGCTGGTGCAGGACTATCTGTGTGAGGGTGTGGCCTGCAGGGTGTACCATGTGTACCACTAGGTGTGTCTGTGGATGGGGGGTCTGCAGGGTACTCCGTGTGTGTGTGTCTGTGTATGTGAGGGGTCTGTGTGTGTCATGTGTGCATGTGCATCTTATGTGTGTCTGTGGGTGTGGAAGGGGTCTCTGTGTGTGTGTGTCTGTGGGGGGATCTGTATGTCTATGTGTGTGCATGTGTCTTGTGTGTCTATGTATGTTGGGGGGATCTGTGTGTGTCCTTGTGCATGTGCCTATGTGTGCATGGGTATCTGTGATCTATATGTGTCTGTAGATGTGGGGGTCTGCAAGGTGCACTGTGTGTGTCTATGTGGGGGTCCATGTGTGTCCATGTGTGTCTGTGGATGTGGAGGTCTGTGGGGTACACTGTGTGGTGTGTCTATGGGAGGGTCTGCGTGTGCATCTTGCTTGTGCCCATGGGAGAAGGATTTGGGGGCCTCCTGCATGTGTGCATCTGTGCATGACTGTATATCAGATGTGCATGCACTCAAACCACCACCCCCTTCACCACCTCTGGGCCAGGCTCTGGCTGAGCCTTTCCCGGCAGCAAGTAATTCAGGCCTCACAACCGTATCTGGGAGGCAGGTTCTCTATTACCCCGTTTTACAGATGATCAAATGGAGGCCCAGAGATGTGAAGACACTTCAGATCTGTTTTCTCATCTGTGTGAAGAAAAAAAAAAAAAAAAAAAAAAGTATCCAAAACTTGGAAATGGGCAAAATGATGATTATGTTGCTTTTAAAAGTATATATTATACATTTTCTACGCATTTCTCCCCCAGCTGTCCTCGGACTCTCCCAGGGATAAAATTCAGTTTGACTACCTCTGATTGGGGCCCCGCCCTTTCACAGCCCTGTGATCTTAGAGCAAACTTACAGCAAACTTAAGGGTGGGACGATGTCATTTGTCTGATTGAGAAGATAACCCGACCTCCAGTCCTCACCCTAAGTACTTCTTCATCTGGCTGTTCATTTGTATCCTTTACAACAAAATGGTAATCGTAACGTGTTTTCCTGAGTTCTGTGCACTGTTTTAGCAAATTACTGAACTGGAAGAGGGAGTCATGGGAACCCCCAATTTGTAGCCATGTCACACAGAAGCATAGGTAACCTGGGGACCCTCTACTTATAACTTGTGTCTGAAGTGTGGGGCAGTCATGTGGAACTGAGCCCTTAACCTGTGATGTCTTCACTAACTCTGGAAGGGTCAGTTGTTAAAACTGTAGGACACCCAGTTGGTGTCTGCAGAGAATTGGAGAATCGTGTGAAAAACCAACACATTTGGTATCAAAGGTCTTGTGAAAAGCAGTTTTTCTTTACTACCAGTAACAGGTGATGACCCTATTTTCTCCATACTGTTATACTGTCCTGGTGTCCACAAATAGATTCTGCTGTAGGATTTACTGAAGAAAACCATCACCTAGAAATGGACTTCTACTAAAAATTGTTCAAGGATTCTGGGACAATAAATCCTCATCTTAACATGCAAAAAGAGGGACACAGAGAGATTTCAGATTTTAAAAATCTGATTTCTAACTTCTTAAAGACTCAATATTTGGCATTACTGGAATTGCTTTGCTGCCTATCCAGAATTTGCTACAGCTGAGTAGAGGCTGCCTTCTTTAGGTAGGACATGCACTCTTCAATTCTCCACCCTGCCTACTCCTTCTTGTCACTCTGAGCAGCCTCATTCATCTATCTGACTTTGAGGACATTTGAGTATCTCTGGGCCTGCAGGGATGCTTATGAGGATTTGGAGTTTGCTGGTGATGGTTAAGTCTCATTTACCAGCGATTGCTTTTCTCCTGTTTTTATCTGTGGCATGTCAGAAGACCTGGAACATGAGGATCTGAAGGAACAGTGATGCTCCCAGTCCAATTATCTTAAATAACTGTCCCACATTCAGAAAACCTCCAGTGGTTTTGAACCTCATTCTAAACTAAATGCAGACTAGCTTCTGTTCTAAGTAGCCTGGGGGCCAGAGACAGCATACGCCTTACAGAGCTCACAGGTGGGCATGGTGAGGAGAGGGTGTGTGGCACTTGGGGGATGGCAGAAGTTATCTTGTCCTTTTCTTGCCTGTGTTTTCTGGTCCCTTTCTTACTACTTACTATTGGGCCTGCTGTTCTTCGGCTTCCTGAGAATTAGCTTGCCTGCTCCTATTATTGCTTAGAATTTTTTTTTTTTTGAGACAGAGTCTCGCTCTGTCACCCAGGCTGGAGTGCAGTGGCACGATCTTGGCTCACTGCAGCCTCCGCCTCCTGGGTTCAAGTGATTCTCCTGCCTCAGTCTCCTGAGTAGCTGGGACTACAGCCATGCAACACCATGCCCGGCTAATTTTTGTATTTTTAGTAGAGACAGGGTTTCACCATGTTGGCCAGGATGGTCTCAATCTCCTGAGCTCGTGATCCACCCACCTCGGCCTCCCAAAGTGCTGGGATTACAGGTGTGAGCCACTGCGCCCGGCCTATTGCTTAGATTTTTTTTTAAGTGTTGAGAGATTCCCTTCTAAAGAGTATCTTGAAAACCATCAATGAGACTGGGAATCCAAGGCAGCCACCTTCCTTCAGGACCTGAAAAGCCATGTGTTTATGCAAGAGTTCCAGTTATTACAAAATATAAACGCTGTAACATGCTATCTTGTTGACTACATTTTATACTTACATAAAGGGCATCCATAGTAAATGTCATTTTTGACAGCTGCATAGTATTCCATGTATGCATATATAACAATGTAATATGCAAAAAACTTACTAATTTTCACTCCTTAGAGTCCTAACAAGACTGAGTCTCTCTTCTTACTTTAAGTCATTTTTTTAATATCCGTTTAAAAGCTGCCTGTTTGTATCAGTGTCTAAATTACTTATCTTTAGATATTAATGTTTTAAGAGACAGAGTCTTACTGCCACCCAGGCTGTAGTGCAGTGGTGGTCATAGCTCACTGCAGCCTTGAATTCCTGGATTCAGGTGATCCTCCTGCCTCAGCCTCCCAAGCAGCAAGGGCTGCAGGCACACACCACCATGCCTGGCTAACTTTTTTTATTTTTTATAGTGATGGGATCTTGCTATGTTGCCCATACAGATCTGGAACTCATGGCCTCAAGCAATCTTCCCGTCTCAGCCTCCCAAAGCACTGAGATTACAGATCTGAGCCACCATGCCCAAATACTATACTTTTATATCACAAATTTTACAAAACTATTTCCACATTTTGTGCTTTATCTTTTAAACTTTAAAACAAAAACATATATGAATATTTAGTTTTCAGTAGTCAATTTATCAGTACATACCCTGTGGCTAGTTTCTGACTTTCATCTAATGCTTAGAAAGGTTTTCTCAATACATGAAAATTAAAAATGTACTCATATCTTTTTCCTTTTTTAAATAAATCTTTATTTTTCATCTTTTCAAAAGTAATACATGCTTGTTGTCAAAAATTAAACAAATAAATTAATGTGGGTAGAGTGAGTATCTTTAGTATGGGTTTTCCTATCCAACAACAAGGCTTCTCTCTCTCTCCATTTATTCAAATTTCCTTTCTAAAGTGGCTCTCAGTGAAGACTTAAATTTCTCCATACAAGTCTTCCATAACTGTTTATTTCTAGAAAATCTACTTTTCTTGATGCTGCTGGGAATGAAATCTTTTCCTTCATTATATTTTCTAATTCCTGTTAGTACAAAACAAAGCTATTTATTCTTGGATGTTTCTCTTTAAGTGGTCATCCTTTCCTGATTAAAAATTGAACAGAATAAAAACTGTTTCCATATGAAGACTCTGCCATACTCTTTCCCTCTTGGGGGTTTTTCAATGGGCGAATCTGATGATACTTGATCCATTTTGGCATTAATCTTGAGAGTTTTCTACATCTTTCTCATTATTAGGATTTTCCTTCACTATGGACACTCTGATGCTGACTGAGCTGGAAGCTAAACCTGAATGCTTTCCCACACACACTACACATATACGGTTTCTTCCAAGTGTGGACTGTCTGATGTATAATGTAGTCAGAACTAAAGCTGAAGCCTTTGCCACATTCCACACATCTGAAGGGTTTCTCCCCAGTGTGGCTTCTCTGATGCCGAATTAAATGGGCATTAACATGGAAGGCTTTTCCACACTCCTTACACTGAAAGGGTTTCTCTCCAGTGTGAATTCTCTGATGCACAATGTAGTTAGAACTACAGCTGAACGCTTTCTCACATTCCATACATTTGAAAGGTTTCTCCCCAGTATGTATCCTCTGATGCCTAGTTAGTTTGGCATTGATACTGAAGGCTTTCCCACATTCCTTACATTGATAGGGCTTTTCTCCAGTATGGATTCGGTGATGATCAAGTAGGTTTCTTTTAGAAGTAAAGCATCTCCCACATTCATTACATTCAAAAGGTTTCTCCCCAGTGTGAATTCTCTGATGCCGCATTAGTTTCCCATTAACGCTGAAGGCCTTTCCACACTCATTACACTCATAGGGCTTCTCCCCAGTGTGAATTCTCAGATGCTGCCGAAATTGGGAGTTACACCTGAAGGCCTTCCCACATTCATTACACTCATAGGGTTTCTCGCCTGTGTGAATTCTCTGGTGTTGGATTAACTTCCCTTTGACACTGAAGGTTTTTCCACATTCAGTGCATTCATAGGGTTTCTCACCTGTGTGGATTCTCTGATGCTGAATGAGTTTTGTATTATTATTGAAGCCTTTTCCACACTCTTTACACTGACAGGGCTTTTCTCCTGTGTGGATGCTCCGATGCTGCCTAAGCTGGGAGCTGCACCTGAAGCCTTTTCCACATTCATTACATTCATAAGGCTTCTCTCCAGTGTGGATTCTCTGATGCTGAATTAATTTTGCATTAACATTGAAAGCTTTCCCACAGTCATTACACTCGTAAGGTTTCTCCCCAGTGTGGACTCTCTGATGTGTAATATATGCAGAACTACAGCTGAAGCCATTTCCACACTCCTTGCACTGATAGGGCTTTTCTCCCGTATGGATTCTCTGATGCCTACTTAGACTTCCATTAACACTGAAGGCCTTCCCACACACCTTACACTGATAGGGCTTCTCCCCACTGTGGATTGTCTGATGTGTGATATAATGGGAACTGTAGCTGAAGCTTTTCCCACACTCCACACATTTGAAGGGTTTCTCCCCACTGTGAAGTCTTCGATGCCAAATTAATTTCTCGTTAATGCTGAAAGCTTTGCCACACTCCGAACACTGATAAGCCTTTTCCTCAGTGTTGTTTTCTTGATGTTGATTAAGTTGAGAGTCACACCTAAAGGGCTCCACTAATTCTTCACATTTGAAAGGTCTTTCCTCAGAATTAATTATTTCATGCTTAACGAGTTTTGTATCAAAGCTGATGGCTTTCCCCAATCCTGTACACCCAGAGGGCTGCTCTCCCCTGATGGTATGACACTGATATGAGTTAGAACTTTGACTAAAAAAACACTCCTCCATGGGGCTTGTCTCATCTTTCACTGTTCCATCAATGCTGTCGCTCTTCTCCTTCTTTGTATTTCCTGTTGAGTAGACTTCCTGTTGTTTCTCTAGAAGAGAGGCTTCTGAAAAGTCTGTTTCCTGGGAAAAGTCCCTTTGAAGTTCAAATGATACCTTCTCTTTTCCTTCATACATTTCCTTTGTCAAATCATTGTCAGTCTGAATATCTACTATAAAAAACAAAACATAAAATGTCATGTAAGAACCATGTTAGAAAAAAGAAGAGAACTGTGCTAGAGAAGACCATAATAATCGGGGGCTCCTTAAAATCATCAGACTAGTTCAAAAAACCTAGGGTTTCTCCATAAGGTGGAATAACTAATATGTAACTAGTAAAAGAATACAATAAATCCATACATGCTGACATAAAAAGACATCAAAGATACAATCAAACGGAAATACAAGTTGAAAAACCGGTATATAGAATAGATTTTCATCTGTGTAAAGAAAAATATAAAAGGCAGATATATATACTTGTACATATCTAGAAAACGTCTAGAAGAATCCATAAGAAACTAAACAAACTAGCATAGGAAGTTTGGTGGACTTGCTTCCCCACTTTATACACTTTCTGTATCGTTGAGTCAGTGTCAATATTATAAAGCAATGAAAGTAATGATTAAAAAAAAAAAAAATCACCAGTCTCACTGTGCCTAAAGCAAGGCCACTGTAGAGAACATAACCAATCACATGAAGGTTAAAAGTGACAGCTGGGCGCGGTAGCTCACGCCTGTAATCCCAACACTTTGGGAGGCTGAGGCAGGCGGATTGCCTGAGCTTGGGAGTTTGTAACCAGCCTGGGCAACACAGTGAAACCCTGTCTCTACTAAAACACAAAAAATTAGCCGGGCATGGTGGCACGCACCTATAGTCCCAGCTACTCAGGAGGCTGAGGCAGGAGAATTGCTCGAACCCAGGAGACAGAGGTTGCAGACAGCCAAGTTCATGCCACTGCACTCCAGTTTGGGCGACAGAGCGAGACTCCATCCCCCCCCAAAAAAAAAAACAGTGACAGCAGTGGAATAAAATTCTAGGTCTTGTCCACCAGATCAGCATTCTTTAATCACACCATGCTTTTCTACACCCTGCAGTTTCTTCTTAGTTGTTCCTATGGCACTCAGTTCCTTACCTAAAAAGAAAAAAAAAAAATAGAAAATGCTGAAGAAGGAAAAGGCACAGGATCCAACAGGATGTGGCAACTTGGGGGATGACAAAAGTCAGCAGCAGCAGGGAGCAAAATGGAAATAATTTTGTTTCTTTCCTTAGAATGTTAACTGTGGGCTTTCCAAAATTCCTCCTTCAACTTCATTTCTACTTTAGACAGGCTCTATTTAAGGGCCATTTCATCCCATTTCTTCCTATTCCTCCAAATACTGCATTAACCTTGCCTTTTCCTTTCACTTCTTCCTCCAATCCTAAACTTGATCATACCCTAAAAGTCTTTTCATAATACCAATAGTCTTTACAACTAGAACTACTGATCTCTGCATTTGTTCCCAACTTTCTCAAAAGCTGAGTCCCAAAATGCTGCCTCATATTTTTTCATCTTTCATCACTCCTCAACCATATGTAATATGCCCCCTGCCCCAATATTTCATAATTGCTCTCAATAAGCCCCTCCAATTGCCTGGATTCCCCAGCAAGCACTTTCTAAATAATATTGGTCTCTTCCCAACTAAAAAAATAATACTCATCTGTTGCTATAGACTGAATGTTTGTCCTCCCCACAAATGCATACTCTGAAATCCTAACCCCTGATGTGATTGTATTAGGAGGTTGGGCTATGGCAGAACCCTCATGAATGGGATTAATGACCTTAAAAAAGATCCCAGAGAGCTCCCTTTCTTGCCACCATATGAGGATACTGTGAGAAGATGGCTGTCTATTAGCCAGGAAGCAGGCCCTTGCCAGAAGGAACCTGCCTGCACCTTGATCTTGGACTTCTTAGCCTCTAGAACTATATGAAATAAATTTCTGTTGTTTATAAGCCATCCGATCTACGGCAGTCTGTTATTGTAGCCCAAACTGACTAAGACATCTATTCTATCAGATGTCTAGTCATCCTCTCCAGAAGTCTACTCCTGTTTTGCTGCATTCTCACCAACACTGAATATAATTTAATTATTCTCAATATCATAGGTGAAATATCTCTCCTTGTTTTCATTTTCCTCTCTTCCAGTGAGGATGGCCATTTGACACAGTTCCAGCAAACGAGTCTTAAACAGGTATTACTGAGTGGGCTTCTGAAGATTTTTAAAAAGAAAGTCAACACTGCTGCCATGGGCCTCATGCCCTTTGCCCTCCCTTCTGCCTGCCTAGAGCCTGTTTGATTCCTCATCCCAATTAACCCATACACATTGACTACATTAATGTTTCTATCCCCAGCTAGGATCATGATGGGCTTCCTGGAAAAGTCAAAGACTTCAGGACAGTCAGCTGCCTACAGGACAAAATACAGGGTCCTTTGATTAAGGACCTCACAATATCACTTTTTTTCCTGTATTTGTCAAGCCCATTATATGGCAAACTCTCCATTTCCAAAGCATGCCTTCCTTGGTCAGGTATCATCTGATAGAATGATCAAAGGGAATAAAAACCCACAGAAACCATCTAAGAAAAGTGAAGACTCACTGAAAAATGCAAGAGAATCTCACAGACCCTAAATGCAAGAAATAACAGGGGACCTCAGGGGAATGAGAAGTCATTTGGCAGCTACTCTGTTGGCACCAATTGGAGTCCTGCTCCTTCAAGTGTGGTCTGGTAACCAGAAGTACTGGCATCACCACATCACTAGGGAACTTCATAGAAATGCAGACTCCACACTTACTGCATATCTGTAAGACCTCAGGATTCATTTACACATTCACATTTAAGAAGCAAAAATCAAGAGCACTTCCTCCCTTCCACGTTACCTTCTCTGTGTACAGCTGTCTTCCCCAACACCAAAATAAAAATATTGAACTGAGCATGCACTATAAGCTAGGCACTTGATATGTGTTATCTCATTTAATCCTCAACCCACAAGACTAGTACTATTACCTTCTTTTATTATTAACCCATTTTCAGAGATGAGAACACTCAAATAACCCACTCAAAGTCACACAAATTAGGAAGCAACACAGTTGGGACTGGACTTCAGAAAAGTCTCCTCTAAAGACTGTGCTTTTAACCACTTCTGTCTGTGTGAAAAGGCTGTTAATTCTGTATCCTCCACACTATGTGAACAATGCTTAGAAATGCCAAGGAACCCCCAAATTACTGAGTCCATTAATTTTGTCTGAGAAAGGCAGGATTCCAAAATTAAGAACTGAAGAGTCAGAATGAAGGGTTTGAAAAAAGATCTGTTCTTGGAATTAGACACAACAAACTTTGAAGACAGATAAGGACTACCTATCTCTATGAATCATCAAAATGTACTTAAACTTTACTCTGTATGACCGGCCAATAAACATAGTATGTTTATATGTTGCTAAAGTTGGTTTTATGCCTAAAGTGCTAAATTCCAACAGAATGGGAAATATGTACCTTCCTTACCAGTCCGGAGGCCCCAGAGGCCTGTTCCTGCAGCCAGTGGAGATGGGCCCCCCAGCTCACCTCCTCCCTCCAGTTGTGAGATCACAGCAGGTTTGAGAAGTGGAAATCCTGGTTTGGGAGAGGTAAATAGGAGAGACAGATGAATAATCTCCCACAGATAAATTCCTAAGCCTCTTCTCAGATTGTCTCAGCAGTGGGGAGAGAAGGTAAGAACCCCAGGAGGTCCCAAGCCTCAGGACTATAGGAAAGTACTGTGGGGCTTAGGAAGGACTACAGAGACCTTGGAGACGTCTAAAGCTTTGGGAGGCAAGTGTGGGGGTTGGGAGTGAAGGCTTGGGAAAGTGTGGGAGCGCCTGGGAAGGGCCCAGACTGTAGGCCTAGGAGACCTCATGCAGGGCAAGCAGGGAGATTCTGCCCAAAGGGATACCACTTTTCGACCTTGGCCTGAAATATCCAGAGTACACTGAGATCCTTGAAAAGACTCAAGATAGGTAAGATGAGGGGGGAACTGAAGATGCCACTATGGAACAGGAAGTCACTGGATTCCAGTGTTTCCAAAATATAGCTTTCATGTGTTGGATCAACAGTACATACCAGTTCCAAGCAAAGTCCTATATAGGCCTACAAAAAGCTTGGTGTTTGCCCCTGCCAGTAACCTCTTAGTCTAGGAAATTAGGAACAGCTCTGGGGTTCTCACTCAGTAAAGGATTACCAGAGATCCCCCCAGTAACCTGTAAGGGAGAAGCAAGCCAGAAACCCCAATTGGCAGAGTCCAGATTCCCAGGAGAGAGAGGACTTACCCAGGGAGGCCACATTCCCATAGTTCTCCAGCATCACATCCCTGTACAGGGTCCTCTGTGCAGGGGACAGACCATCCCATTCCGCCTGGGTGAAGTACACAGCCACGTCCTCAAAGGTCACCAACTTCTGAAACAACAGGTTCCTGCTGCCCTAGGGCCAATTCCATGGCTCAGGCCCTAAGTGAGGGGCAGAGGGCAGTATAAGGGCTTGGGGAGGGTGCTTGTGAGAGCACAAAATATTAACAACAAGGGAAACATCTCAGAAAAAACATTGAGAAAGTAAACTACAGAGTATCCAACTTCTCCCACAGCAGGGAAACCTCATGCCATTTTTCACACAAATAAGAGGTAACGTAAGACAGGCTGAAAGAAAAAAAATTTCTATAAGCAAATTCTCTAAAGCCAACTCCACTCTTAGATAAGCTGCTCCCTCTCGGCAAACTCAGGGCAGATCCACCAGCAGTTCCCACACCACTCCCCTGAGGTCTTGGCTCCCCTGCACCTAACCTCAGCCCTGTTCCGCTACCCACCCATCGCCTTCATCCTCACAGCTCAAGCCACCCCAAAGATCAGCCACGGCTTCTGTCTCATTCAGCCCCACTGGATTCCCCTCACACACCCCCTAACAAGGGGCTGTGCAGCCTCTGCTTGAGCACCTCCAGCCACGGATGCTCCATGCTGCCCAGGCTGCGGGGTCTTCCTGGAAAGCCAGAATTTTCCTTTCCCTCTCCTATTCAAGTCTCATCCTTTCCAGCTTCTCCGAAAGCTTCACTGTCTCCAAGAACATTTGGGAAAGCAGGGAGATCAGCCTTCCCACTGGCCAGCTACTCTCCCTTTGCATCACTAAGCTATGTGGTTGGCACAAGCTTCACCACTCAGGGATGCTGCGTGTCGTTCTCAGGCCCAACCACCCCTCCTGGGCAGCTGCAGCCTCTGACAGGCTCACCCTCTGCCCACCTCAACCTGCTCTAACAACCACAGGGACTCACTGGCAGGGATCTGCTGCTCAACTGTTCTCTGCCAGGATGTGTCTTCCTGGAGTCTACTGACCTCCACCCAACAGCAATTCTAGTCCAACCTCTAGGTGTTTCTGTGAGTCTTCTTTGTGTGACCTTCAACAAGTAACTTCTGTGCACAAAATATAATGTCTTCACTGTGCGCTGCCACCACAACCTCAGTAAGTTGGCACTTCCTTCTGAATTTACACCTCAGATGGGGTCAGAATCATCCACAAGAAACCCCAGCCAGAAACCTGGAAATTGTTCTTGACTTCCCGCCTTCCTTATTATCATGAATCCTTTGACTCTCTATGTCTGAAAGATTTTTTTTTTTTCTTTGAGATGGAGTCTCACTCTGTCACCCAGGCTGAAGTGCAGTGGCGTGACCTCAGCTCACTGCAATCTCTGCCTCCCAGGCTCAAGCGATTCTCCTGCCTCAGCCTCCTGAGTAGCTGGGACTATAGGCATGCACCACCACACTCAGCTAATTTTTCTATTTTTAGCAGAGACAGGGTTTCACTATGTTGGCAAGGCTGGTCTTGAACTCCTAACCTCAAGTGATCCACCCGTCTCAGCCTCGCAAAGCGCTGGGATTACAGGCGTGGGCCACCACACCGGGCCGTGATTTTTCTCTTAAGCATTACTTGAATCGGATCCCTCTTTAATGATGGCTTTCCTTGATGAAGCCCATGTCACGGGACCAGTGGGATTCTTCTTTGTGAAGTGGTCACCGTGTTTTTGAATCTTCCTTACCAGTTATTCCATACACATCACAAACCTGACCAAGTTAACATCACTGGTTCCACAGCTGCCTTATGGCTGAGCAGTTCTGAATCACTTAATAACTCTGTGATCCTGGGCAAGTTACTCTACTCCCCTTTTGCCTTTTCTTTTTAGGTGGAAAGAGTACAACACAGCACTTATCACAGAGGGTGGCTGTCAGGAGCAAACGGCCATACAAAGGGCTTAGCATGTCGCCTGGAGCATAGTAAGCCTCCAACAATACAACTAGTGTGACTGTGGCTATGATTGTTCCCAACCTGTAGTCCATGGAAGTCCATGGATGAGCTTCAGGGGATCCGTGAAGTCCCTGAAAGTGTATGGAAAATTTGGTTTGCAGGTTTATTTTTCTGCAGGACAGGGTGGGAAGTTCTTCTCAGATACCTAAAGTCTGCATGCTAAGCTTTGAAAGCTTCACAAGGACAATGAGACATTTCATCCCATGTGATTCTCTTTCCCCTCCCTTGACTCCACTCCCTGTGACCTTCTCTTATCCCTGAATTAAGAGGCACAGCCATCCTTCTCTGATCAGGTCCTGCTGTTCCTCTTCCCTACATCCCCACCACAGATAGTCCAATCCTCTGTGACTGTCCTCCACTCACACTCCTGCACAGAACATCCCACAGGGGCAGCTTCCATGTCCCCATTCACCCCGAGCCCTATGCTGGGGGTGCTCCTGTAGAGAGGAGCAGAGACCCTCAGTGTGCAGAAGACCACCACCCTCCTGCTCTCCTGCTCACTCTCCCGCCGCCTCCACTCGCTACTGTCCTGGTCTTTGCCAACCACCCCGCACAACACCTCTTTCCCGTAAGTTGCAGTCCAGCAGGTGGAAGCAGCTGTCATCCCGAGGCTCACCAGCTCCCCTTCTCAATGTTTTTCAATCTGAAACTGCCCAGAAGAAGAGCTGAAGGACCAACAGCTCACCTGGGACCAGGCTGTCAGGTGCATGGCTGCCATTCTCTGGTCCCCCTCTCAGAGAAGGACTGGAGCTAAGGAGAAACACAACGAGAAACAAGCGTGAGGCAAGTCACCCCCACCAGAGCAACACAGCCCCTCACAGAAAATGCAAGACACAGGTAGCTTGCATCCAAATAAGAGTGCAAACAGGAGCTGCCCAAGAAGGGAGTGATCTGTTCACTGGCTCAGTGCCTAGGACTCCAGGCTATGACACTGAAATTCACTGCCAGGAACCCTAGGACTTTACAATTCTGATACATATCACACACACAGAAGAGTGTATATATAAAATTAAAAAATAAACAAAAATTTAAAAATAATAATAATAAGAAGAGTGCATATAAAACCTGCTGGGCACGGTGGCTCGTGCCTATAATCCCAACACTTTGAGAGGCCAAGGCGGGTGGATCAATTGAGCTCAGTTCAAGACCAGCCTGGACACATGGCAAAACTCTGTCTCTACAAAAAATACAAAAATTAGCCAGGAGTGGTGGCACGTGCCCATGGTCCCAGCTATTCGGGAGTATGAGGTAGGAGGATCACTTGAGCCCAGGAGGTCAAGGCTGCAGTGAGCCAAGATCACACCACTGCACTCCAGCCTGGGTGATGCGAGTGAGACACTGTCTCAAAAAAATAAAAAATAAAAATAAATGAAATAAAATGTAGGCAGAACCTAAAAATAAAGCAAAGAGTCATGTATCAACAATTCAGTTCAAGAAATAGGACAATAGCAAGATCTTTGACTTACTTCTCTTTCTCAAAACAAGTATCATCTTCAGTATCACAGCAGGAAAAGCTGGGCTGGCTGGGCTGCAGCCCCAGTACACAGGTCTGGGGAGTCAAGCCTCAGGGAGGCAGCAGCCGGAGAAGAGGAAAGCTGCCCCCAGTATCCTGCCCCATTTCCTCAGAGCTCTGAATGTCTTCAAGAATCCTAACACCTCTGGAGAGGTCTTGGGAGGTCAGTCCTCCTCAGGACAGCACAGGCTGTCTTTAGGAAGCTGAGCTGGAAGTAAGGGACCAGGCTGTTTCCCATACTTTCCAGTCTTCTGATAGTGAATGAGCCAAGGCCTGCACTTCTGCCTCAGCTCCTGAGAGAGATCACTGTAGCAGCCAGTCTCGTGACCCAGCACCTCTTGTTCACTGTATTCAAAAACACAGGGACTGGTGATTTTCTGACTTCTACTGCCCTTAAAGTCATTCTTGAAATTACATTTTCCTAAAAAATATCATCCATTTCTTCCAGGATTTCAACTTTACAAGTACAGACTTGCAGAAAATACTGGTTCATGATTCTTTCCATTTCCTCCATATCCAGAGCTAGTTTGCTTTTCCCACTTCTTCTTTTGAATATATGTGCTTTCTAGACCTTTTTCCCAGGGTTAGATTAGAGACTAAACATTTATGTCCCTGCCAAATTCATATGTTGAAGCTCTAGCTTCATGAGACAAGTGACTGTACTTGGAGACGGGGCCTGTGAGGACGTAATAAGGATAAATGAGGTCCTAAGGGTGGGACTAAAGGTCCTAAGGTTAAATGAGGTCCAATAGGGCTGGTGCCTTTAAAAGAAGAAGAGACCCAGAGCCCACGCACCCACTCACCCCCTACCTCCCCCATGTGAGGACACAATGAGAGGGCTACTATCTATGAGCCAGGAAGACAGCCCTGGCAGGAGCCAAAATCAGCTGGCACCTTGATCCTGGACTTCCAGTCTCCAGGACTGTGAGAAGTAAGTATGTTGGTGAAGCCACCCAGTCTATGGTATTTTGTTATGGCAGCCCAAGCAGACTAATACAGTTAGGCTGAGCAGTGGTTTACTTATTTTAATGTGGTTTCCTTTTGTTTTCAAAGAACCAGCTTTTCTAGCTGAGCAACACTACTTTCTTGTATTTGTTTTAAATTCACTAATTCTGCTGTCTTAGTTTCTTCCTTCAACTCTGTAAGGGGCAGTGTAAGCACCACTCCAATCCTCTTATCTCATCCTTAGTCCAGTTCTACAGAGGCCTTAGTCAGCTTTGTGAAGCTGCAACCTACCAGAACCTTCACAAGCACCTACATCACCTATATCTGGTTCCTGCCCTGGGGCTTCTCTGGTGTCCTATGTGGGACACCTGTGGACACCTGCTAGGCCCTGAAGTGCAGATGCGTAAACACCTGTGGGACCCCCTTGACCAATGACGGAGAGAAACCAATGGATAAATGTTTTCCCCGTTGATCCCCCAGCGGGGCGGCCTTAAGACTCCAAGGCTCCTCAAAGGCCCTGCAAGGCAGAGCCTGTTGAGGGCCGAGCATACCAATGCATCCTCGCACCAGTTCTCCCATCTCTGTTTCACTCCCCTTGTCTTTCACTCTGCCCCTGCGACCACATTCCTAAATAAATTCCTACATACAAATCTTTGTTCCAAGTTCCGCTTTTGGGGAAGCTTAGACTACAAAAGCATTTTTCCTATTGACTTATTCATTTATTTTCATTCTTTCCTGTTTGGCAATTAAAGCCTATAAGGCCACAAATTTTCCTCAGGATACACTATTTGCCACATTCCAGACGTTTTTATATTTCATGTTCTAATTACTGTTTTATAGTCAGTCAGCAATTCTGTTTTGTCTCTGACCTAGTAATTGCTTAGGATCATTTGCTGTTGCTAATTTCTTCTGTTTATAAGTTCTGGCTTTATTGCATGCTGGTTATATAATTCAATCTACCAACTTCTACTTTACACATTTTTCAGGATTTTTTTATGACCCGTGTCCCTTTAAAAAAATATATTATCTGGTGTTTAAAGAGAAAACTTATTCTGTGATGGGAGAATATACAACTCTATTTTTAGATAAACCAACTCTACCAGTTACATATGTAGTGTGCGATAGATACCCCACTCAGCTAGTCAAGGGTGTATACCTGCTGCCTGAACCTTGAAGGCCAGGCAGTGAGTCAAGACCATGGGGCTCAGCAGAGAAGCAGGTGTCTGCAAGAACGTAAACATCCTAGAAAGTATTGAGAACCTACCAAGAAAAGTCTCATCGTTTAAATGCAGTAGACAGAGAGCCAGAAAATTCTCTTAAAAGTACTTAGAGACGAGGGGCAGCACAGGTCTCTAAAGCTGTCCTGCTGCCATCCAGCAGTAAGTATGTAAGTCCTGATAAACTCATCTACTTGCCAAGCTGGACTTGTCCAAGGCATTCTTTGGTCTCTTGGTTCCCTCCCAAGGGGAAAGTTTTTTTAAAATACGATTCCGGGTTTCTTCCTGTTATGACATTACACAGATTTTCTACATAATCCTTGATTACTTTTACCTAATTAAACCAAGATGGCCAGTGAAGAACTAACTCTTACAAAACACTGAGCTCAGATGTGTCATGAGCGAATCCTTTCAATGTTTCGGAAATGAGTAATTCTAACACTATGTAAACCGCAGCAGAGCACAGCAAAGTAAGTTTCCCAATTCTTTTTATGGTGCCAGCACAATACTGATACAAAACTATAGACTAGTCTCATTTATGAATTCTAATGCAAAAATTCTATCAAGGAATAGACTCCAGTAGTTCATTAAATACATCATGAGTGAGTAGGATTATCCCACGAAGATAAACAAACCTCAACGTTAGGATATTAATTAGTATATTTTTCACATTAATAAATCAAAGAAAGATAAACACACTGTCCATCTCAACAGATACCAGGCCAGGCACGGTGGCTCACGCCTGTAATCCCAGCACTTTGGGAGGCCAAGGAGGGCGGATCACGAGGTCAGGAGATCGAGACCATCCTGGCTAACACGGTGAAACCCCATCTCTACTAAAAATACAAAAAATTAGCCGGGCATGGTGGTGGGCGCCTGTAGTCCCAGCTACTCGGGAGGCTGAGGCAGGAGAAGGGCGTGAACCCGGGAGGCGGAACTTGCAGTGAGCCAAGATCGCGCCATTGCACTCCAGTCTGGGCGATGAGTGAGACTCTGTCTCAAAAAAAAACCCAAAAAACAAAACAGATACCAAAGGTGTTTAACATAATTCAACATTTGTGCCTAATTTTAAATATTTACATCCTAGAGAAACTCTCATACATAGGAGGTATGTACAAAAACGTTATCAGCACATTTTAATAACAAAAACACTGAAAACAACCCACATGTTCGCTGAAAATACACCGATAAATTTTCATACAGTTTTTACAATGGAACATTACCCAGAAGCTACACACAGAAAGAATTTGGGAACTTAACATTGAATTATGAGAGTCCCAGATAACTCATACACACAATGGCGTCATTTATATGAAGCTCAAAAAAAAAAAAATTTAAGTACATTGCTTACAGATACATGCATATGTACTTATTTTTTAAAATAATAGGGCTACATTAACACAAAATTCAAGATAACTGTTACCTCTAGGGGTTGAAGGCTGGGAGTTGGGTTGAGGAGGAGGAACACATTGATAAATTCAGCAGTACTGGCAATCTTCTCTTTCTTAATTGAGTGGTATGTTCATGGATGCTTTTTATTACTATATATAACATATAAATATATATTTTAAATAAATATATAAACCAGCAAGGATAGGGTGAAAGTGAGGACCCAAAATGTAATACAAAGAACAGCCAATGTGCCTAACTATATTACAATGAACATAACCACACCTAAGTGGTAGGAAAGAAAATGGGTAAGCAACTTTAGAAAACAGTATTTTGACTAAACACCATAAGATTAAAGACAAAAAGACCTGTATTCAAGTACTGTACTTTAGGTAGTAAATTTGCTTTTCATGGGGGTGTTAATTAGCGATTCTGAAATTATTAAATACATTCTAAAACTGAGTGAACTCGTAATTACGTTGCAGAAGTCATTCCCAGGTCATTGTCACCCCAGAGCCGAGAGAAGTAGGGCTGAGTTACCTTTTAGGGCCGACACTGCTCCAGGAGACAGTGTCCTCCAAAAGCCGGGCTTCTGCTGCCGGGTGACTGGGAGGGGCTCTGCGCTCCCACGCGGCCCTAATTCTTGACCCTATGTCAGGAGCCTGGGAGCACAGAGTCCATACTTGGGATGCACATAGGTTAATGTTCCTGCCAGACCTCAGCATGTCAAACGACTTGTGGTATCACCTCGGGCCGCTTCATGCCCACAAATATTCCACCCTTTAGCTGCACCGACACATCTTCCCCCAGCTGATCAAGTGCTAAATGCTCGGGGCCTCGTGGCTGGGACAGCAACACGGGTTTCCCCTTCCAATGGGCGCAACCTACTGAGCCACGAAGACCAAAGCTGGAGTTGAGGAGCGCGGAAGAGCACCCCGGAACGCCGCCCTGCTCCCTCTCCCAGCCTGGGCCTCCTGGCAGCGTAGGCCACTGGAGACCCAGCTGCACCTAGGGTGGGAGTGCGTCTCAGCCATACCCAGAGCCTGTGGGACAGGGCACGGCCCACGGCGCCCGGAGCCCTGCACTCACCTCCGCAGCGGGCTGCTCCCCGGCGCTGCCGGATGTGCGTCACTAGGCGGCCGAGCCTCTCTAGGAGCAAGGTCTTTCCGCCTCGGCGGTGGTCACGCCCGGCCAGCTGTGGCCGGAGCCCGGGCGGCTAGCTCGGGTCTGGCCCACGCGGACTGTTACCCCTGGGGAATGGGGCAGGTAAGAATTAGAGCCAAGCAGGGCCCAGCCCGGGGAGGTGAAGCTGCAGGTGCGGCCACGTGTGGGAGTCTTGGAACTGGACGAGTGGATGGCGCGCTGTCACTCACACCCACTGCCCCCTTTTGCTAACAAATAGTTTGTAATGTCCATCTTATTCTCCTGACCTGATACTCATACATAAGGGCCTAGAAAATCATACATAACATATATACCTACATATTAAAAAGTAATGTTATGCCTTAAGTGTAATGAAATAGATAAAAAAGAGGAACGTCATCTGTCACATACTTCAATGTGTTTGGTCTTGGCTGCTGCAGGAGACCTAATGAGGTGGTCGCCTTTACACATAGACGTTGTCTGAATGCCACAGCCACAAAGCTGTGACTTATATTGTTTCAAAAATCACAAAATTGTGATCCAAAGTGGCAAACACGTTTTGGTGAAGTTCTGAATGAAACACAGGACAATCGTCTCTTGATTATACAATAATTACATTCCTGGAACATCAGTGTATGTTAAAACTGTGCAAAAATACATGTTTATCCAGAAAACAGGTTTAGATTCAGATAATTTAGACATAGAATTTTCACCTACCTGAATGTTCAAGACATTTGAAAGTGTGAACATTTTTTTCAATGGGCAGGACTGTCCTGTACATTGCAGGATCCTGGCTCCCATCCACAACGCTAGTAGCAATGTTACCACTGACACCAAATATAACAAAATACCTACCATAAAATTCCAAAATGAGCTCTGGGGGAAGGCAGACAGTACTAAAAGCCACTGGATTGAACGACCCTTAAATTCCCCACCCCCTCA